GGGCTGTGCGGGGCTCAACACGCACAGCTGCACGGCCGGGATTTTAATGGGAAGGGGTAGGAACCCTGCCCCCCCCCCAGCCATGTCTGCATGCAAGACCCCCCACGGAGAGAAGGAAAAGCCCATCGGTCCCACGGCCCTTGCCAGGGAAAAGCATTTCAGATCCTCTAAGCATCCCTGCCAGCGCGGATGTGACTGAACACAATGACAAGAGGCCCAGTTCTGCAGGACGAGGTTTATTCCCAACAGGACGGCGCGGTTTTCCATAATGTGTCGCAGCGTTACCGGATTCCCGAGCCCTAATCCAGGGCAGTGCCTAAACGTGGCAGAAACGCCGTTCCTGGCTTGCCAAGGGCGCAGGGGCTGTCCCCCTCCCCAGGGATTTTGTGCCACCCATAGCGAGAGGCACGCGCAGGACCCCGCAGAGCGGGGCTGTTTATTCCCAACAGGACGGCGCGGTTTTCCATAATGTGTCGCAGCGTTACCGGATTCCCGAGCCCTAATCCAGGGCAGTGCCTAAACGTGGCAGAAACGCCGTTCCTGGCTTGCCAAGGGCGCAGGGGCTGTCCCCCTCCCCAGGGATTTTGTGCCACCCATAGCGAGAGGCACGCGCAGGACCCCGCAGAGCGGGGCTGGGTGGCCTCCATCACCCCTCAAGGACATCCCCCATCCCATCTCAGGCACCCCAAAAGGCACAGAAAGGGTGAGTTAAACAGTAAAGCTTGCCCATGAATGGGTCCTGTTTTCCACCCGCACACCTCCGGGCTGGGTCCCTGGTGTGAGCAAAGATTTAAAGGGGGTACAGCCCCCCCCCGCAAGCATCGCCCGGAGGAGGCAGAGGCCCTTCACCACCCTCAGGGCTCCCCTCGGGCAGGCTCAGCCCCAGCCGGGGAAGAGCCCGGTGCTTTTCGGAGAGCCGATTTTGCTGGCAGGGGCACGGCATCAAGGGGAAGACGTTCAAGATGTGCCAGAGGAGAGCAAGTTCAGTGTTCCCCTGACGAGGTCAGTAGATCATTTTAGTACCGTTACATGAAACATGGAGGAACGCAGGCATTCGCCAGCCCGGGCGAGGCTGCGTCTGGGTCTGTTAAGGTCAGATGGAGGTGGGAGAGGACGAAGCGGCCTCGTGGAGGGGCTGCATGCGAGGCCTCCTCCTCGTTCCTCCCGATCGCCCACGGCGCCGTCGGTTTTACAGCTGCTGGAGGATAACGTCAACTGCCTCGGCGAGGTTGTTCACGTACGCATCAGGCTTCACGTGGGGGTGGTTTTCATCGCAAGGCCTGCGAAGGAGAGAGAAGGGGATGGCTGAGCAAAGACGGGCTCCCAACCAGGTCCCATGTCCCCGGCCGTCCTGCTGCTGCTGCGCTCACAGAGCCCAGGGTAGCTCCGAGGTGGCCCCAGATGGAGCACCCTCGGGTGAGCCTGGGTTTCACATTCCTCCCTCTTCTGCATTTTTAAAAAAAAACTATCTCCCCCATACCCAGGTTTTTCCTGCATGCTGCGGTAGATCCCATGTCCTTGTGCAACTGAGCTGGGCAAAACTTTGCAAAGCCTCGTATGGAAGACAATCTACATCGTTAACCAACTAATCCAAATTAATGCATTGCATTTTACGTGGCGCTTCTTCATTCAGGCAATAGCAGTATCAGACAGGGATCGCTGGGAGGACACTTCACTGCAAGCCTAGGATCCTATGAAACTGCAAATAATTATTCTCTTATGGTTTTCCTCTAGAAACAGGTAAAGAAAAGAAGAACTCACTTCTGACCTAGAGACATGAAAGGTCTGTACATAGCTGCAGTGAACGGGAAAGCTCTGTCAGGGTTTAATTTTGCAGGACCACCATCTTCTCATAAATCTAACAGTGTTGGTTTCAGATGCTCCCATGAAAAGGGTCAGACTCACCCTCCACTGCAAGTCACCACCCCAAAGCAGAGCGGCTTGAAGCCATTTTTTGCCAATGATTTAATCAGAGGTACTGGCCCTAACGAGGCGCAGATGCACAATGTTATTTTACTGATTCAGCAGCATTGCTGGTGGGGAGGGGGCAGATGTGGGAGGCAGAAATTTTCCAAACCTTGTGGTCCTGTTATAGCTCTTGGGCTGAGAAACCCAACAGCTGCTGAAGAGAAAACATGTATTTTATATGCTTAATGGCTTTCTTTTGGAAAGAGATGAGAGCCCTAATGTCCACCTCCCATCTCTCTCGCTCCCTGTAAAGGGCAAACCTTTATTTAGCACGGGCCATTTTCTCAGCGGGGAAGATGCATTTCCCATCGGATGCATGGGAGGCAGAGAGATTATTATTATTATTTATGATGTGCAGAATTTGGTGAGCACTTGTCTGTACAAGTACCAAATTACTTCTTCAATTCCAGCACTGAAGCTCCCCAGGGCTATTTCCTTTCTGTTCATTTTTCAGCTGCGCTCTTCACGTCCGAGTACATGAGCTCCTCGTAAAGGCACGGCCTCTTTCGGGAGCCCACGCTGCTTGAGATTTTACTTGCTGCAAAGTTACAGTATGCAACTAGGAAAAATAAAAGACACTGATATTCAGCTTTCCTTGTGTCACCTGCAAAGCCACGTCTGGCACAAGGACAATGGCTCTGTGAAACGGACTCTACGTTGGTGCTAGTTGTCATAAAAGCATCTTATTTAAAAGGTGAAGGTTATTCCATGGGTCTTTATTTAATTATCCAAGTTCTATCTTCTTACAGGGCTAGGGTGCAATAAGAACAGTAATTATGATGGTTTTTAGGTTTTCCTCAACTGAAGAAGAATTTAGATTGCTGAAGGTAAAGCAAGTTATAATATACAATGGAGAAAACCCTTCAAATATAAAGCAAGTAAAAATCCAGTACGTATCCATCCCTTCGGTGGCGATTATTGCTCACCCCCTGATTTAACCAAGCGGCTTTTATGAATACAGAAATACCTTTGGGGGGTGTGGTAAAATACTAATTTCTTGGCAATAATCCTTAATTTGAGTGGAGATCTAAAAAAAAAAAAATGAACAAAACTTCTTTCCATTTTACACGCTGAAAAATATTTCTTTCCTAGCTTATACATTAGGAGAAAATTTTAAGAACTGCTTGAAACGAACACTTTTACAAGAAATTTTCAATTACACAGCACTCTTTGATCTATTAGAAGGATTTTGTGATTGATATCTGTGCTGACTATACAGAAATCCACCTGTAACTCAGCAGCTAAATACCAGTCATCAAGGAAATGTGCTGTATACACTAAATGTGTGCTGCGGAAGGGGTGGGTGGGTATATATCTATGTGTATACATATATATACTGCAGTAAAGCAAATTAGGAAATAAGGTATTTTTACCCATTTGTCCAAATAACATGATCACAACACACAGACTGGCCAGCCACCAACTCCTGGCCTCAGCGGGGTTAATGTTAGACCCACTTAAGCTCCCGGGGAGCTACGAGTTCACCCTCGCATGTTGCCCAACTGCCCCCACCCCACGGGACCGCTGGGGTGGACCTGGGCTTCATTTTTACCTGCTGCACCCCTATTATTTATCCGAGCCCGCTTATTTCTCTTCTGCTTTGCAGTCTGATACCTTACAGGGTTACAGCTGGGAACCCTAAAATACCCTTCTGCTACCCATGCTGCAGACAGACGGCCTCGCTCGAACAAAAGGGTTTCAATCATTTTACTAATACTTTACCGATGTTATCCAGAAGAAAACGAGAGGAATACGCAGCCCTTACGCAGCGGATGTCTCCCATTAAAGCGGACGGGTGCAGCAGAGCCCAGC